AATACACAGATTGCTCAAGAGGATAATGAGACGTAATGGCCAGGGAATGGGGGAGGGGAGTAAAGAAATAAAACTTCTTCCCGACGGCGGGGGTGGGGGAAATCCTGTCTTTTTCAAGCAACTCCTAAACAAAAGGAATTATTTCTCTCTCCCATCACCATTCTTCTCACTTGATCTTGTTTCTGTTGAGTATTTAACAAACCTCAAGTCAGGTCACTTTGACTGATGCTCCACTACCAGGAAAAAGCAATTAAAGTTCTCCCAAACCGTGAAGTCCCTTCCAAGGATAAACAAAGCATTTTCTTTAAATGCACAGGTCTGCCCCTCAGGACACCACAACCCCACACACCCTTCCCCCCCTCACCCCAAACCACCCCTTCACTACATCTGATGCTTGTAAGAGAAGCACACACTAGGCCAGGCCACCAGAAGTTTAAACTACTGATGTAATCTCTCCGGTAGCACTCTGCCCAAGAACGTGCAGCTTCAGCTGTAGCCACTCCTGGGTCAGCACTGATAAGATAATGTGAAATGAAGCAAGCCATTTCACAATGTAAACAGTTGTTTGGCTACACGGGGAACAATATAAACAAACGGATCTATTTATAAATCATCATTTATGCCTGTTGCAGAACAGGGAATATTATGTTCCAGTGCAGAAGCGACAGTATTTCCAAGAATACAGCAAAAATACAAACAGCTTATATCTTCTTCCATCAGCCTGCCCCGTTGACACTCCCTGTTCCAGTTCTATAGAAGCCACAAACACATGATGCGGGGCCTGATCTTTTCAGGAACAAGATACCCTTGATTTAAAAGGACATTGGCAATCCAGGGCGTGGAACGCAACCTCATTATCGTACCTATGGTTACTTCCAACACCTCAAAAAAGTCAACGGTAACATCTCAGCTCAGCGAGAGAAGGAAAAAGCGAGACTTACTCCTACTTTTTCCACCTCTGAAACCCAAACGAACCGATTTCTCCCCACGCCGCAGACCTCGCTTGTATCCGAGAACATCGGCAGGGCACGGCACTTCACACACCCATATAACCCCTACACTTAATTTCCTGCTCCCCTCAAGAGCGGCCACCGCGGTCCAGGGCGCGGGGCTCTTCCGAGACGCTTCACCTCCTTTACGGAAACCACCGTGCAGAGCACACGGGGCTCCGCGGAGCCGCTGTCACTGCGAACCCTCCGCAGCGCTCCGCCAGCAGCCCGCGCCCCGCCATACCCTGCCCGCGGCCAGGCGCCGCTCCTCGCACACCGCCCAGGGGCTCCGGGAGCGGGATAACGCCGCCCCTGCCTACGGCACCCCCGCCGCGGGGAGCGCCCACCACAGCCCTTTACGTAAGGGGCCGGGGGTGCCCCGCGCCGTCCGGCACCGCCTCCGGCCGCCCCGCCGGGGGGAACGACAGCACCCCCACCGCCCCGGGAGGTGCCCCTGCTGCCCCGGGAGGCTCCCCCACCCCAGCCGGGCTCCCCGCTCCCGCCGCGCCGGCTCCCGCGCCCGCCCTTACCGTGCCGCTCCAGCCGCTGCCGGCGCGGGTCGGCCCGCGGGCGGTGCGCGGCGCTGTCCCGCGCTATCCCGCGGAGCCGCGGCAGGGCGCCGCCACCCCACCCATGGTCTCCACCCCCCGCGGAGCCGGAGTGTGCGCGGCGGGCGCCGCTCCCGGGCTTTTCTGCGGCGGGGGCGGAGGAGGAGGGCGGGCGCCATTAAACCACCGCCCCCCGCCACCGCCCGCTTTGAAGCGGCCGCGCTACGCCAGGCACAGCGGCGCCCCCTGGCGGCGGCGAGCGCGGGGATCCCGGGATTTCCTGCTTGGCAGCGCCTGGCGGGCTGAGGGCGCCGTGCCGAGCCCCGCCGTGCCGAGCCCCGCCGTGCCGAGCCCCGCCGGCGGCTTTACTGGGGGGTTTTTAGTCTGTTGTAAGGAATATTACCTTTTGTTGCCCGAGCGTGACGGCCCCGGCCCAGCAGGTCCTTCGGCGGCCGGAGAGAGCAACAGCGGGTGGTGGTGCAGAGGGGGCGGGGGGTTTGTCCTGCCTGCCGGGGAAGGAAGGAGGGAAAAGCATGGGAACCATGACGGGCAGGGGTGTGCTGCTAGCGCTGTCTGTCCTTCCCTGTTGTTGGTGCATGAACGGATCAAGGGCCGGTGCTCCTCCGACAGGCACGGTGGGAGCCGCACGGAGCTGGGAGGCGAACGGGAGATGCCTGGTGGATTCACCGCGGCGCAGCTCAGCCCTCGCCCGGTCGCGGCGGGGGTGACAGAGCCCGGCAACAACCCCGGGGGTCACACACACCCAGCACAGCGGCCTCGGGGGTGACACACACACAAAACACAGCAGCCCCAGGTAAGACACAGACATACAGAGCACAGCAGCCCCGGGGGGTGACACACACAGCATCTCGCTGCGGTGCTGCTCCTGGGCACCCTCACCCCACCTCATTATGCAGGGAACAGAAAAAAAAAAAAGGCAAACGGAGGGATAAAAGACTAAGCCTCCCCTCAAACTCAGCCAAAATACTGTGAAAAGCTCGAGTTCGCGTTGTCTGGTATCAGGGTTTGCACAGAGCCTCAAGAGGGGAGATGAGCTTGAGAAGCTGCTTATTTTCGGTCTTCTAAATAGACTGGCTTTTCTCTTTTATTTACCATGACAGAAGATAATCTTTTTTTGTCCTCAGATATTTATGGCTGGCTGTGTCTTTCCTAGCGGCTGTCATCCAAACAGCACAAGGTATTTGAACTGTCTTTTTCCCAGCACAGCTCAGTCCACTCAGGCTTGTAACAAACGCCTTTCATCACAAGGAAAATCACCACTATTGTCCTCCATTTCAGCCTAGATGCTGTCCTTGGCACTGTGCAAGCGGCCCCCTGCTAAATACGGACTACATCCTGAATTACATATCTCTTGTGAATGCAGACATACATTCTGCGAATATGGGTTACATTACACAAAAAAAGCAAACAAACAAACAAAAAAACCCAACCAAACTTAAGAAAATAGAAACTTTTATTGAAATGTGCAACATACTCATGTGAAATACTTAGTGCTAAATATTTGACAGCATTATTACAAAATTCATCTTTTGTAACATTCAAAGATAACAGCATCCTTCTCACTGAAAAAGAGGGCATCCTAAAGTGCATCTTAAGTGACAGTTTTACTTATTATACCTTATTACCCAAGGTATAGTCATAACTTTATCAGATGTTAGTTCCCCAAACACTCATTCTCTACAAATATTTTACAAATAGGAACAGCTCTGTAATACCAGTACACTAATAGACTACAGTGTCAGTTCCTTCCCAGTTCAGCATCTTAAGCAAGTCCTTAGCTGCAATACTATGAGATTACACATGAAAATACAGTTGAGCATATCTGTTTACAAGACTTGAAAGATTTAAATCCTGACTCTTCAGGGTTAAGATGTACCTGTAATTGCTAATCCTGGGAGTAGCCCTACTGAATTCAGTTTTGTTTTTCTAGTCCTGTGCTGAAATTTAGGCCTAACTACATAATGAAAGCCTAAGGTCTATTTTTGGTCCAATATGAACTGTGTTTATAAACGAAATCTCCCCCAAAAAAACTAGATTAATCAAGCTGTAGGAAAAAACAACATTTTACACAACAATGAATTTTGCATATAAAAATACCAAGAGTTATTCATCAACTTAAATGACTTTTGGTTGAACTGTGTAATGTCGGATTCTTCATTTCCAATGTACACAACTGGTATTTCCTTTGAAAAAGAGTATCACACAGAGCAGAAACCTTTTTCTTAATTATATGTGGTAGCAAGAGGTGATGTAAAATCCTTAAATTTTAAGAAAATAAGAACTTAGAACCTTCTGATAAAAGCTGTCTTCAATGTCTTTATATGATTTACTGGATTTTGACATTTTCAGCTCCATTTTGTTTCTCCTGCGTCTTCCTCTGTAGGCACAGAGGAAGCAAAGGAATAACCATTTACAGGGTAAGATGCAAAGCAAAGAATGGCAGAATTTTGGGGTCTGAAGGGGAGTTTGTGTATCACGCATCTGCGTGCTGTGCTACAGCTGGCATTTCCTGCAGAAGCTGCAAGCTGGTAGATTTACTGGTACATTGATGCACTAAATCTTTCCCCATGCTGGGACTGAGCCAGCAGCAAAGGAAAATGCTCCTTTTCTATCATGCAGCGTAGGTGCTGAGGAAGAGGCTGAATTTAACATTTGAGCAGTGGGAACGCAGAGGAAGTCAAACCCCAGTTACATAAATTTGCACTGTCCATAGTTACTACTCAGGCAGAACTCCAACTGAGGTCAGTGAAACAGCTGCCAAAAGACTGTGGGGTTAATGTGTGTGGATCACATTTTAAATGCCACTTAGTATTAGTACAAGGGGGAAAAAAAAGACTAAAATGTTTCTAGGAAGTGTTGTGATTGCAAAATGCAAAATACATAGAGACAAAAGAGCACCACTGAGTATACTTACAGTCAGGATAGTAAAAATAGAAACTGAAGGAATTATAAATGGAAACATTTTTACAGTGTATTTGGAGGTGCACAGAAGTAGCAGCTCCTACTTAAGCGCTTTGCCCTTCAACTTTGAAGATGCAGTAGGTGAATGCAAAATATTTCTCTCAAAAACCTCTTCAAAAAAAAAGGTGTCGTTTTCTGTATGTGATACATTTAATGCATGCTGACTCCCAACTGCTGCAAATATTTAGAAGTGTGAGACAGTCCAGACATTCAACGGACAGGATGAATGAGTAGTGCCAGCTCACTTCTGCTCTCTGCAATGCTTATCCCTATTCCCTTTAAACAGGAGGAGGATGGGACTGGTTAAATTTGAAAAGCTGCAATTACAAAGCCATAACAATTGCCAGAAACCCAAGAATGAGGGTAGTATACTTGATTATTTTTTGTTGTTTTTTTTTTGTTTGTTTGTTTGTTTGTTTTTTCGTTTTTTTCTTTATTTTATATTGATGCTGCAAGCTCTTAATCAAAGGCAGCTATCAAAAAATACAGCTAATTTCATTTAATATTTGCAGGTTTGCAACCAGCAAGATAATTAATTACTAAACCAAGCAACCTCTAAAGCAAGGTTACATGATACATGAACTTTTCTGTTTGTAATTCCATGGCTTAGCAAAATAAAAAGCCACTATACAACAGAAGATTCATGTTAGGTTGTGCTACATAGTATTAATTGAGAAGGAATTTTCATCAGAACTGTATGCATGCAGAGAGAAAAAAAGCTGAAAATAATAAATCAATATTTGCAGATAAAAGGAAAATGGAGGAATTAATAAAATGCAAACATTCTCACTGTAAATATTAGTTAGAACTAAGGCCATTGCCAATGTGAAATAAGAAGTTGTTTATCATTAGGTAGAACGTACTTCTAGGTTTTAGGATGGACAAATACAATATTCTTTCATGACTAAAAATATGTTTTTGCAGAAATTTACATCCCCCAACATTTTTGCAAATGTCCTCTGTGCATATGGAGGAGAGGGAGAATAAAACTAGATACTTTTACAGTTAAGTCTTAAAAAATGAAAATGGCCAAATTTTTCATCTTGATTTTCTTTTAAACACATTATTACAGATAATGATTCCTAGATTCTGACCCTCTATTACCCCCGAAAAAGGCAGATGGTGCTTCCAGTGGCCTGCCAGCTGGCCCTCTTGTGATCTACAGAGGAACTACAATCCACCTTTCCCTGAGAAACAGGCAGAATGCATTCCCCGATAAGAGTTTTCACTTCTCCGTTCTTACAGCTGTTTATAATGAAGTAGAGATTGGGGTGGAGTTTGATTTATCTGGCATGCACACTCACGTAGTATTTTAAAAACATTTACTGCATGACGTTATGTTAACAGTTTGTCCTTAAGTCCTTCATAAAATGGATTAGAAAGTTTATTTCAGACATGTGTTCATATGAAAGCTCTGAAAGTATTAAGTTATGCTCAATAAAATAAAAGTGCATAATCTGCATTTAAAAACCACATTCACATATAGAGTTATACTGAACATCAGTCTGTATAATATACCAAGTGTAATTAAAAGCATTAAATACAGGTATACACTCATCATATAAACACATATTTTCTTTACATGATGCACTGCCCTAACTCAGTATATTGAGTTACCAGTCTAGTTTCATGTCGGCTTTACTCCACACATATTTTCCTCCTCTTGTTAGGAACATCTTCTCATCAAATCCACTGAATTTTATAGCTGCTTCCACACCAACATCTAGGATAGACTTGGAAGGCTCTTTCCGTCCATTTCTACAGTTTAGAAAACGCATCTGGAACATCAATAGATAAGACATTAAAAAGTCAATTTGCAAAAACTTAACTTTCCCACAGAATTAAACAAGCTGCACTGCAATCCCACAGAAGCCTATATAAGTGCATGAAGAGTTTCACTCTAGTCCCTAGAAAGCTCAGAAGCTCATGGTTAGACACCTTAGCAGGAACAAAGCTATACCATAATTCCTGAAGACTGGCTCTTCAATTACACATAAACTAAGTAGGCACTTTGAAACGTAACTTTCAGGGCAAGTTCTGTATTTTTAAATTAAAGAAAAGCAGCGAAAATGTCCTCCAGAAATAGACATCTACACTTTAAATTTGTGATGTAATCATTATGCCTGCAACCTGATTGCAAGTTCTCATCAGCTTATACTATATTAAAGTTCTTACTATGTCTGATGGGAATAAATCACATCCATTCCTTGTACTATATGGTAAAATTGTTTTATAGAATGCACAGTAAATCGAATTGGTTATCACTGTTGATATATACATATATTAGCATACAAATACTAAGTATGAAACAAAGACTTACATATTCATCCAGAATGAGGTATGAATCTCTCATCTGTAATAGATCAAAAGAAAAAAAATGAAATTAATATACAAATTAAAATTCCATTCTAGTGAAAAATGAAAGACAAAGCAAACAACTATTCAGTCAGATACAAATCTTTGAAACAGTTACTGTATCACCACTATTTCAGTGAGCTTGGATCAAATTTATAGAAATAAATGATAGAATTACTAGAATAACTTTATGTATGGATAAACTAGTAATTCTTGAAATATGACCTCTCCAGTGTCTAATTGAAATGTGGGTGCCCAACTGGATAAAGGTGGTTTAAATAATATCCAAGTTTTCTATTAATTTTTACAGCAGTAGAACTTACAGTTTTGCATGCTAGAATGATTATGACATTTTCAAAACAAATGTTGCGATCATTTAAGCTGGAGAATCTCTATTAGGAAACTATGCTTAAAGTGTGTTTTTATTAACTTTGAACTTTTTCAGGATATTGTGCCGTGGTGGGGAAAAGTACTCTTGCTGGTCTCCACAGGATTGGGATCAATGGGTTTTTAGTTTTCTGCTAATAACTTCATGGTCAATAAAAAGCCTTAAAGAAAATTAAAAAACTTGGCTTCTACCATAACAAAACTGGTTGCTGATAAAGTTGTACTGTACCTCTTCTAAGCCACTACTTGTAGGGAAAGTACTAATTGCCATGAAATTTTCTAGTTCCTTTCCAATTTTCCAACATTATTTGAAAATAAAGTTACAGAAGGATAGTTTAATTTTTACCTTCTGATTAGATTCAGGTACCAAACAGGAGACATCTTTGTGGCGATCCAGGAATCGTTCAAAGTCTTCATCACTAATAACAAATTTTTCTGCTTCTCTCAAGGCATCCTCACCACTGTTCTCCCCTTCAATGAGCAGGCACTGGAATACCTGAAAACAGAAGGCACCTAGTTAAGATTTTACATTTTCACTTGCCTTGAGGTTAAGAGACTGTCCCCATGACAAAAACCTTTAGTTGTCTCAGTAGCAATATCTTAATTTTTCTGTCAGTGGGGCTACACTGACACAAATTGTGATAACTGAATACTATACAAAGAGCATGGTGCAGATTTATTTTTAGCAACTTAACCATTACAGAGTTCTAAATTTTCTAAATTATCATTTCCATTACTATCCTTTAGTAGGACCAAGATTTCACTTAAAGTGTTTGGTTTGGGTTTTTTTCTGAGAAATTTTGTGTGTATAACAATTTCCATTAAGTAAATAATGAGAAATTATTCCACAAGTTCTCTCATATTTATGCCACATTACCTCTACCCATTTGCAAACTGATAACATAATGTATTTAATGCATTCTAATAAAAAATATATGTACATTAATTGTTAATACTCTATAACAGAACATTAATGTACACATATCTTGCTAACAATATATTGACTCTAATGTATCATTGTATACTGATTTTTCATTTTCTCTACACCGTGACACATTTCCAAATCTTAAAGACTTTCTATATTAATTTTAATATAATAAAATACCCATATCTACATACACTGAAATAGTAATTTTCTGTATTTATCACAATAAAAAAAGATTCTTGACATACTGGGCTCCATTTAAGTGCAGAATGAGACAGAACCCATCTCAACACCATGCAACATTGACAAGAAGGCCCCTAACACCAGCCCGAGCTGGAGATCCAACTGAGGTCATTAGACATTCAGACAGCTCCAAAACCTCATTATTTCTTTTCTTTGAACAAGAAACCTATGGTATACACTACTTTCCTACCTTCCAGCGCACAGGGTTGAGTGCCTTGATCTGCTCATTCATATCTTCCTCAACATTAAATCTGTTGATCACCGAATTTATTTTGAAAGCAACAGCATACTCTCGGCACCACTGTCTCAGTTTATGCAGATTTTCCACGTGGTTCTTCTTTCCTTGACCACGGCCGATTAAAATGTTGACATCCTCATCAAAACTATCACATGAAATTGCCAGAATGTCTAAATATTCACCTGAGAACAAGTTTTAAAAATTGATTAATATCCAGTCCCTCAGCTAAAAGCTGTCAGAAATATGCCCACTTTCACTTCCTTATCATCTGTCATGAAGTGCCATGTAAATATAGTTCTGTGGAGTAATCCCATCAACCGCAAAAGCCACAGCAACAGCAGTGTCAAAACACATAACTTGAGCGTGTCTGTCCTCAGCATTATGGAGACAGGCTGAGCTGTTGTTTTAGTACATCATTATACCAAAGAGGCCTTTGGTATAATGCCTATGTTCACAAAATATAATCAACACAATCTCACTGGTATTTGCATTTGGTTTGTAAAACCACTAAAAAAACAACTCCCACTTGCCCCAAATCCATCTGTGGGTGAGGCTGCTCTGCAAAGGCCCCCCAGCCCGGCCAGTGTTGCTGTGCCCAGCAGTTCCTCCTTACCGTACTTCTTGAACCACCGCTCTCTGATCAGGCTGCCGTTGCTAACAATGCTGACACTTGGGAGCTCCAACTCCTGCTTGCAAAATTGGACCAGTTTGCCTACAAATTCGCCTCTGTCCTGAAGAAACGGTTCTCCTCCCGAGAAATTTATTTTCTCCATTCCTAGAGAAGGACCAAAGAAAGATGATGAACATCTCTTGCCCGTCGCCTGCTCCTTCCCCATGCTATCAGGGCCCCACGGCAGCCTCATGAAAAGGTACAGGAAGATTCCCGGGATAACTTTTTCGACGGCACTTGCTCTTGCGGGGTCTCCCCTCCCCGGTTACCGCCGGCGCCCCCTCCCCGGGACTCACCCGCCTCCTTGAGCATCGCCAGCCCCCGCTTGGCCTCCTCCAGCGGCAGCACGAAGGAGGTCTTGGCAGTATGGAAGCAGAAGCCGCACTTGTAGTTGCACTGCCGAGTGAAGTGGTAGTTGACACTGGTGGGTGTCGGGGACGCGTCGTCCCACTCCTGCTCTCGCTCCCGCCGTGGGGGTGAGTCCCGTCGCCAGCCGGGCAAGGGCAGGGACAGAGACAGGGACAGGGACAAGGGAGTCAGGCTCCAGCACAACGCACCCAGGCGCCCCCGCAGCGCCGCCAGCACCGCCCGTCCTATGGACAATAGCCGGCCCAGCATGTCCAGGTGCATGGCTCGGCTCAACTTGGCTCGGCTTGGACCCGGCGGGATGCGCTGCGGTTCACTTGGAGTCGCCTGGGCACGCTTCGACCGGAGTTGGTTCGGTTGGGCTCGGTTCGGTTCAATCCGACCCGATTCGGCTCGCAGTCTGCAGCGAGGTGCCCGGCGCTCCGCATTTAAGAGCGCGGTGAGAGCCTCCCCGTCCCGTCCCGTCCTGCCCCGCTGTGCCGGAGCACGGGGAACCGCTCCGTTTCGTTTTCCGTTCTCGCAAAAGCGAAACTTGGCACCGAGCCGCAGGCGCGATGTTTTCCTTCTCCCACCCCCCCCACGTGCGTCCCCCGTGTCCCCACGCCTCAGATGCGCTTCTCGGACACGGCCACGGGTGGAACCCGCTGACTGCCAAGTGCTGGTAGCAGGTTTCAGCACCTCTGGGTTTGAGCAGGTTTAGCACCTGAAGACCACTTTTGGTGTGTGAGGTCTCAGTGGCTCTGGCTCTTCTGGTTAAAACTCGTGTGACTTGTGAAGCAGGGGGAAAGCTCAGCTTATATAACCGCACTGCAGCCTTCTTAGTAAGTCAGGAACACTTGTAAGTTGAAACAGTTTTGCATTGCAAAGCAGCCCAAGCTAGGGTCTTTAATTCTTGGTCTTCAATACTGGATCTCAAGCAAAGCTACTGCACCAAGCTGAGTACATGGATAGCCCCGACAGCAGGAGCTGCTGGCAGCCCGAGGTGAGACACTGGCAGAGCAGATAGGAGCCCACTCATGGTAACACCAGGAGAGACCAGGACCAAGCTTCCAGTTTCCATATTCCTCAATTCCTCATGGCACAATAGCTATTGCTAGAGAAGGAGCATCATAGCACCAGTTGCTATTTCTCAGTCCTTCGATGTGTCCAAACACACCAAGTACACCACAACTTTTCAGCCTCACTCTGCCTTCAGTCAGCCTGACCTCATTCTTGTGTGGGCACTTTAGTGTTGCCACTGCTGCCAAGGTGAGGAGCCATACTCAAACCCGATGACCTACCAATTGCATGTTGTCCATGGCAGGCTTCTCTCACTTTGGAGCTTCCCTCACTTCCATTTACCAGACAGAATTGCTGATGTAGCTGGGCAGTCTTGCCCTCATGTTGCTACCTTTCTTTTTTTTTCCACTTGAAAAAGGAGTGGGAGAACTAGCTTCATCCTGTTTGCAAGTTTTAATGGGAAACAAAACCTTCTTGTGAATAAGAAGCGTTTCCTTTATGTTAATTAGGCCTGTCATTGGCTACCCTCAAATTCCCATCACCTTTCTTTCACTTTCCTGGAGATGATCTACTGGCTCAGTAATGTCTGGATCAGTAAGTAACAGGGTTTCAGGTTTCCCCCTTTAAACAGTTTTTATTGTCTCTATCAGCTGTTTCTTGCTGGAACGGATTCATGCCAGCAGGGTGGAATGGGAGACTTCGTGCTATGACTAATTCCAGTAATGCCACCTCACGATGGTATTGTTGAAGCAGGATGGGAAACATCTCTGTTCCTGAGGATTTCCAAAATTGTTTCTGAGGTTGTCAACAGAGACCATTCCAGTAGGAGAAGTTAACTGTGTGCCCTTCCAGTCCCTTGAGGTTTACGTAAGACACAAGCTTAAGAATGAAAGCAGGATTTTCTAATAAATAAAGGGTTTACTGATCACAAACTTGAAAATGGAATTGCAAAAGAAGAACAAGACAATGCAATTTAGACTGAAATCTGATGTTGAAGTTGCTCTTTGGTTGTTTCAGTGTTTCAATCAATTTGAATAAGTCTGTACAGTCTATACAACCCTTCTGCTGCATGTTAGGAACTCTTTCCAATTTCCTATCTTCTCTGATCCCAACTCAGGTTCCTCTCTCCCCTCATTCATATCTTTGTTCATATTTAGTTGAGCCAATGCGGATATAGGGACTACAGCCTTTCTTCCTTCTTTGAGGTGGAAAATTCAATTACTAAGAATACTTGTGGTGAACAGGAGATCTTAAAAACAATCACGACACTTCAAACTCTACAACTCAAGAAATATTATGTTGTGTCTATGTTTGTATATACATATATATGTATGTGTGTCACCAACCACACAATCTCTAAATATATCTTTGCACAGGGATTTTATTTCAGGTGATAAATTATCATTTAGCTCACCCTGTCTCAGAAACTTCCCTGACCTCCTGAAAGTCTGGGAATTGCAGAAGATCCATTGAAAATGGCACAGTGACCTAGACCTATTGTAGCCTCAGCCCTGAGCTCGTTGCCAAGTGCCTCAGCTGGATAGCAAAATTAGGTTTAAAATACTTCATTTCCAAAATCAGTAAAGAATCCTTGATAATTATCAATTTGTCTCAATACAAGACTTACATCTGATACACAAACACTCCAAGAGCATGTCAGAAAAAGTTTGCTCAAAGAATCAGCAAACTAAAACATTACCATTTTGAACTGTTTTTCTTTGAAATGTTCCCTGTTTCAGGGAACAAAACATGCAGAGAACCTAACACTCAAGCATCTTCGAGATTTCCTGTTCTCTGTAATTCTATCAGTACTTTCTTAGAAAATGGCAATTATAAGGGTTCTATTTTTTGCCTTGACTAAGCATGTTTTCAGACAACACTCTCTGCATTACTGTAAAGCCTCACAATGCAAACTCAGACCAGGACATGCCCCCTATAGATGTACAGATGTTGCTGTACTACCTAGCAACAAGAATGACAATCACATTTTACTTCCTGAACTGTCCTAGCTCACAGGCTGTACGGTGAGACCTACAAGAAAACACAAATGTGCTCTTTTATACAGTAGCTTTGAATCTACAAGAAATGTTGCAAGCAAGAACTGTAACAAAATTTTCTGTCCTGGTGCCTTCTAAAAGAGTATCAGAAAAACATGATATTCTTTGAAAATGGTAGGACGTCTGATTTCTTCCCTTTGCTTCCTATGGAAGTCATCTTACAGTGACAAAGGAGTCACAAAGGAGTCCCAGTACTCAAAATGTTTTAGATCTGCAAATCTGCACAAAAAAAAACTTTTAAAGATGAATATAATTTTTTAAAATGACTGAATAATATTATTTATGGTGCACTCAATGTTACATAGGTACACAACTAACATGGAAAAATCCAACTGGATAAACAGGGATAATGTTCTTGTGCTCCCTAGTTGTTAGGAAAGCAAAACTTTGAAACAATTATTTATCTAAATAATGTATCTTTATTTTTAAAAAATAAAGATATTGATTTCTCCAGTGTGGCGCTTTGGCAGTTCCAGTCAAACAGTATCTTGCTAGGGAAAACAAAGTACTGACAGGAGCCAGAAACATAAATAAGGTTAAAGGAGGAGTCATTATCACTTCACCTGTGCAGACCACAAAAGGTCCAGGAACAACCAGGCAATGACAGATGTAATTTTCAGCATTTGATAAATGCATTATTTCTTGCTTTAGTCGCATCTGGAAATGACCTCCATCTTATTGCATCTGCAACACTATAAATGGGATTCTGTCAAGGACCTTGTACTTAGTGACTCAACCCTCCCTGGGATGCAGAAATCCAGGGAGAAATTACCATACAGAAAGTTAAAACTCTCATGCAATTAAGTTATGAAAGACATATGAAACACACAATATAAATATAGACACAGATTAGACACGTTTGAAGGAGGTCCACCATGGGCCCTTAATAGTGCATATGTGGTTTCCCACTCAGGAAGTATTCAAAAGATGGTTCCTAGGATATGGGACAAGACCACAGATTTGTAGAATGATAGAATACCAGGTTGGAGGTGACCTCAAGGATCATCAGGTCCTTTCTTGGTAAAAGTATGTTGGGAGAAGGATCCTTCTTTGTCCTTTCCATATTCTTCTCCAAACATCTGGCACTGGACATTATCATGGGCAGAAGAGGGGGCTCTTCTGGTCTGAGACTATACTGACTTCTGCCTTCTTATGGTCTTACACCTAGACCTTTGTCTACTGGAAAGGCCTTTAGTGATGTCCTTTAAAGTTTATTCTGCATTAAAACAGTAGTTTTATTTGTGTGTATTCTCTGTACCTATGCATTTTATGGGCCTTCCACTTTAGTTTTTCTCTGTCTCATGTAACATTTTGAGAGGCATAGACTCAGGGGGGTGAAGAACTGAGACATTTTATTAAAAGGATGCAGATTTTAGAGCCAACACAAACATGGAAACATTCCTTATAAGGCAGAAACTGTAACTACAGCATCTGATTGGCTAACTCCTGTCACCTGGGGACATGGCAGGCTTTTGAAGTGGCAACTCATCCCTGTGATGAGTTTCACAGTACTCTGCTTTGCCCGAAACTTGCTGCAAAGGTCTGGTTCTTTCCAGGCCTTCATCCTGCCTATTTCCCACAGTCTCAGACAGCTGTTTACAGGACTGTGCACTTAGATATATTTTTAAGTTATAAGCTAAGCAATTTTCAGGTGTTTTTTTTTCTTTTTCTATTTTGGGTGGATCAAAAAGTTTTTGAATATTCATATGGCTTTTTGTTGTGTCTATATCTCTTCCCTATAGCTTCATGCAAGCACAATGGGCACTCAAAGATGTGAAAAGGCTTCTGAACAGTCTTTTTCACATAATTGGCATATTTTCTCTTCGACATTGCATCATATTTTACTGAGGGCAAAATTATAAAGGTCCTTGTAAAAAGGCTGAAAGCTCCTTAAAATAAGTTAATTTCAAAACAGAGTTATACTCTCTACACTGATTTTAGATACAAAGACCTATCCTGGGCATAAAAGGCAACTGTCTTTTCCTACCTTTGTACTTGAATCACGCAAGAGGGTAAATAGCCAGAAGGACAGGCCTATTATGAATGATCTCATAAGCATGGTATAAATGAAGGAAGTAACCAACCAACAGTGAAGTAACTAACTTAGCTTAGGAATGCTTGTAACAAGGCTGTATCAAGGCAGTGGGAGGGGGAAAAGGGAAAATGAAAGTAAGCACTTTCCATTCAACAGAGAGGGGAAAGGCAACAGTAGCATCAGGAAAAAAAGCCAAACAAACAGCGAGGAGACAGAGGTCAGTGAGGAAAATTGCCAGCTTTACAAATGCTTTTGAAATGAAACTTGGCTGCAAGTCAACTGGGTGTCAAACAAACCAATGAACAGAAAAGTCACAGGTTAGTTTTGATGTAGATAAGGGTGAGACAGTGGAGATAGGAAAGAATAATCGAAACCTTGTGTACCTGATGGTGAGCTCAGCAGTGGAACTTGCACTCAGGAAGGAGATCTCAATCACTGTTGCTACTCTTCTATAAGTAATGGCTCCATGGGAGACAGTAGCAAAAAAAAGAAAAAACAAATCTTAGTATCACCCAGAAAGGTATTTGGAATAAGGCAGACAGCATTATTCTGCAGGTCTGTGGAACATTGGTATGTGTAGCCATACCCTGACTAATGGTCCAGTTTGGGTCTCCACATCTTAGCAGATCCTTACGGAGCTAAATAAGTTATCCCTGGTTCCAAGTGATCAAGGGGATGAAGCACCTGCCTTACAAGAAATGGAGGCTATCATTTCTGAGATGAAAAAGCTGAAGGGGAAATCTGACTGACCTTGAAAAAATCATGTAGGTGATAAATAAGCTGAATGTTGAACTGTTATTTACCAAAATCAGTAATATTATTGGAAGGGGCACTTGTTGAAACAAGTAGGATATGAGTTTAAAACTTATAAAAGTTTTTATGCAACAGTTTCACTGCTGGAATTTGAGAACAGTTTGTGGAGGTAGACTGTATCACAGAGTCAGAAAGGGATTTAGATAGATGTATGAACAAAGATCCATAGTAGGTGCTAGAAGAAAAAGATGAGGATGTGCTGTCTACCACTCCTAATTCAGTGACTGTGGATGCTGGAGGAGCAGGACTAGGAGAAGGGACCATGGATAAGCCAGGCATATGCAGAGCATGTCATTCCACAAGACAAAATATTGTGTGAGAATAGCCACTACTTTGATTCAGTTCATATTATCATGGTCTTAAAATTACCATCTATTGGTTTCCTGTATAATGAACTGTGTTTTACCCTGTGTCTTCTGGTATCCATAGCCAGCCATAGTCATGTGTTTGAGTCATGTGGAATTATGCAGGAGTTCTCAGGTATGGTAAAGTGCCTTAAAAAAAAGGCAGTTTTGGTATCTGATGCTGAGACTATTGAAGATACTCTAAGGCTGCGTTCCCAGTTTGAGCTCTGGCCCAGCCTTCCACCAGCTCCCTCAGCATGGTCCGTTTCCAACTAGTGCAGCTGATCTCTGTCGAACTGATACTGCCTACCAGCTGCTTCACTGTCCCTGCAGATACACTAAGCAAAAGCTATTTGTGCAGTATATTTGAGCTGACCAGAGGAAGACATCAAGTTTCTGAAGAATTTCTTGTAGGTTACACTAGCTTGTAGAGTATATTCTTTCAGAAAATGCATCAGAAGTTTAACTTTAGATCTCTCTAGGTGGCAGGTTTTCAACTATTGAAAGTGAGGAAAAGGATTCTACAGAGTTGCAGGTTGTCCTACATTTTAAGTTACATATTTTGAAAACTCAAAATCTACATTTTGGGCAACATTACTCATAGCAGCTGTCATAAGACTAAGTGCTATAGCTATTTTCAGTGCTTCTGGGTCCTGCCGCTGAGCTGATGAAAGCTGAAATTTGGCATCATAAAGTTACAAAAACACTGCAGGCTTGTAAAAGTTCGTTTTACTCCCAAAATTATTTGTGTCTATTGTCGATCTTATTATCAAGGCACTGAGTAAACAAATAATGGGATTAAGCTGCCAGTATGCCCGACAGCTCAATGCTGGTTGGGCACTGCCACTCAACAAAGCAGTTTAGGACTTGTCTGACTCTTTTGGGCCAGTCCCAAACAGCAGAGCATATTGGCACTTCTTAAAAAAAAAATAAAATTTATTCTATTTTATTTTTTAGGAGACCACCAGGATTCAGCCACGGGAGCCCGTGGGAATGTGACCCTTTGGTGCTGGCGGACCCCTAGGCTAGGACCTTACTTCCCACGTTTGTTGCTGCCCACTCGCTCACAGAGCCATTCCCTGTGGGACCGAGCCCGTTCATCCCAGTACCACTGATGCGGGGCGGGGGAGGCAGAACAGGCTCCCCAAGGAGCTGCCCTCGGCTCTGGACCGGTCCCCGCAGACCGGCGCTTTCCCGGTCTACCGCTCTAGTTTCGTTTCCCGCTGGCTCCTCCTCCGCCGCCCTCCGCCCCCCTCCGAGCTGCCACCGGCCCCGGCTCCCGGCTCCTGGCTCCTGCTCCCGGCTCCCGGCTCCCGGCCTGGCGATGCTGCGGCGCTGCGCCCCGGGGTCGCCGGGCCCCGGGCCCCTCCGCCAAGCCCTGCCACCCTCGGCCACCGCCCTCCGCCACCGCCTGCGCCAGGTCAGCACGGCGAGATCTTCGGCTTCGTGGGGCGGGCGGGTGCGAAGGGGACAAGGGGTAATTGTTTCAAACGGAGGGACGGCAGATCCTGATCAGGTGTAAGGAAGAAGTTTTTTCGATGAGGGTGGCGAAACACTGGCACAGGTTTCCCAGAGAGGTGGTGGATGCCCCATCCCTGGAAACATTCCTGGCTTGGTTGAACAGGGCTCTGAGCGACCTGATCTGGTTTAAGATGTCCCAGTGTGCTGCCTGGGGGTTGGACTAGATGACTGATCAAGGTCCCTTCTGACCCAACACGTTCTATGATCTCTCCTTGCAGTGTGCAGAGAGGATCCCAGAGGCTGAAGCAGTACTCGACCTGCTGGAGAAATGTCCAGAGCACCAAAAAAAGGGCGATTTTCCCGTCATAGTTTTTGAGGGGCTGGATGCCACTGGTAAGACCAATGTGTGGGTGAGGAACTATAGATGAGAAATTGTTGAAAAGAGCAAGTGCTCTGGCTTTCATTCAGGTGTAAGTCTTAAAAACTAAAAAAAAAAAAAAAAAAAAAAAAATCCTGGAAACCTGCAACAGAATTGAAGAAATTAGTAATTATAAATGCCAGTCTGTTTTCCCTGACTTGTAAAAGATGAGTCTACACTAATTTTCACTCTGTGGGTTAATTCGTTATCTAAGTAAATGAAAGAATACAAAGAGTGGAGTACTGAAAATTTAATTTCTTGTGTTGATGATGAAACATAGTTTTACTGTAGAGTTTTCAAATAAATTAACTAAAATAATGGTAGTCTGAGAGACTGGCAGCAGTTTGTATCAGAGAAATATTAGTTGCCTCTGTTTTCTGACTTTTCAGTTAAAGAGAATTGAAAATCCCCTTAAAAAGAAAGGACAGCAGGGCAATATCCACATGAACTGTGACCTCAAAAAGTATTATAAATAAATATACAGAAAAATTGCCATGCATTTAATGTATTAAAGGGAGTAAAGACTGAAAGTTGGCAAGGGGAAGGGCTGGAAGGCCCAGAGAACAGGAAGGAAAGTAATAATTCCTGCAACCAGACTCAGAATAATTCTCCCCTGACAACCTTATCACAAGATATTCAAGTTACATATTCAGGTGTCAGAAGATTTTCTCCAAATGAACAGACAGGAGAGTTTTTCAGTTTTTAAAACTGAGGTGTATCTGACACATAATAACACAAATATTTCCTTCTGTAAATGAAATGCAGGCAAAACCACTGTGACCGAGGCTGTTAAGGACAACCTGAATGGCATTCTGCTAAGGTCCCCACCACCTTGCATCAGCCAGTGGAGGACTGTATTTGATGATGAACCAACACCCATTAAAAGAGCATTTTATGCTGCGGGCAACTACATTCTCGCTTCAGAAATAGCGAAAGCATCCACTCAGGCACCTGTGATCATAGACAGGTTTGTATACTAGAGAAGCCCTCTTATGTCAGTGCTATCATATAGTTGTTCAGTGTTACAAGCAGAAGCGGTCAACAATTTTCTCTGGTTTTCTTTGGAACTTTCTTTGGAGGAGGAGGAGTTGTTTTGATTTGATTTTGTTTGTGATTTGTTTTGGGGTTTTTTTTGAAGCATTACTCTGCAGAGAGTCAGATAAATATTAAATCTTCCAAAGATGATAATAGTAAGTTAGGGAACTTCCATCAGGGTAATACTCATAACTAGCTTTTGGACACATGAAAATTATTACATCTTCAATTAGGAATAGTGGAGGCTCAAGCTGTGCATCCTGAGCTAGACCAGAGTTTCATGACAAACCTGAGGAGCATGTGGGCTGTTGGTCATGCCTTTCTCTAAGATGAGATATGGGTGGATTGGAATGACTGAGTTTTAGGTAGACTCACTCTTTGCATTTATAAAGCCAGAAACATGCTTCCCACTTTTTTGGATTTGGTTTTGTTTTTGTTATTTCTAGTATTCATTAACCTTTGTAGGCAGCTTACAGTATTACTCTTAATAAAGAAGGTCTAGGTGCACTTTGAACCCTCTGGCTTATTTCAGTAGGTGTTCTGTACCCTCCCGCCACAACACATACACACACACACACACACACACACACACACACACA